CCACCATGCCCAGCTGATTTTTTGTATTTTTTAGTAGAGACGGGGTTTCACCATGTTGACCAGGATGGTCTAAATCTCTTGACCTTGTGATCCACCCGCCTCGGCCTCCCAAAGTGCTGGAATTACAGGCTTGAGCCACCGCGCCCGGCCCGATTTTACCATTTTCAAAGTGTTTATACATAACACTTTCATATGCTTTTGTTTCCTAGCTACCTCAGTTTCCCTGTCGGCTTGAGCAGGTTAGTGTAGAGAGGTGGTGACATCGGGGAAACGAGTTTACTTAGTCATATTTATTACCATATTATCACTGGCTTGAGGCTCCTACCACATGCATTCCTAAAGAGGCTGTTGTGGGTCACCCAGATTATTCACAGCCATCTTTATTATCAATATAATGAAAACACAAGTGTGCTGTATGCAATAAATCTTAGGCTTGAATGTGATTACAGGAGCCTCTGTTGAAATGCAGATTCAGATCTATTGAAAGATCTGAGGTGGGCCAAGATGGGATGGGCATATTTTTAATAAGCTCCTCCGTGAGCTGATGCTGCAGGACTGTGACTTATGGAACCTGTCTGCATTTAAAATTAGTGAAGTAAGCTAGACTAAATATTTATTCATTTTTAAAAGCTTAAATATTAGGCATTCTGGTGAGAAACATTAGTCTTTGATGCTTCACTGGTTTTAAGAAAATAGTGAGATTTAAGTCTCACATTATTACTTGTCCTCTTTCTTTTATAGCAAGGCCCAGAAGTGCCAGAATCAGCTTTTGGAAAAAGTAATTACACTGGTTTGGGGGTGAAAAAGGTAGTATTTTTATCTGTTGCCACTATGCTGAAAAATGAACTTATCTTTAAATGGCTTTCCTCTTTAAAATTCTCTGAGAGAATAAAGCTTCTCTGTAGAGAAAACCAAGTTTCATCTAAGTATTGATTATTACGTAGATAACTTCATTCACAGTTGGGAGACAAGATAATAAGTTTACAGATAAAAACTTCTTTCCTTGAGTAGCCTGTGGTTTCTAATCATAAATTTTTGTTTGACGTTTCTGTAATGCAGTGAAATTGGAGACTTAATTTGATCAACTACAAGGAAATAAACATACTGTGATCTAAATTTACTAAACAATGCTTCAAGGCAATTATTTAAATTAGTAAGAATTAGATTGTTTTTCTCTTATTTTAACTGTGTTTGCAGTCTCTTGAGTATTGCTTATACTTAATAACTGAATCTTTGTGTTGGGGCATAATTTCTCAAAATTATGTTTTTCTTTCTGTGAATACAATATTAAGTTAATACAGTAATGCTAACTCAGCTACTGTTTCATAAACTTCCATGTCTTTTTTTTAATCTGGCAAAGCCTTCTCTCAGTATAATCATTACGCCTGGTAATCTTCACTCTCATAGTTGAAGTGGTTAATAGATAATCCTCCAAGCAGCACTCCAGATCCATCTGAGTACCCATTAAAACACTCCTTGATGCTATTGGAGTTTATGAATTTCTTTATCTGCGAGACAATGGAAATTCAACGGAGAATTTCTTCTATTAGAATGTATATTCAAGTCTTACCTTGAGTACTCTCTTCTAATTTTAAATAAGGTTTCTAGATGTGAATTTACAGATTTTTAATCTTGGAGTATTTAATGCACAAAATTAAACATTTGACAGCCTACGTTTTTGACTTCCTCTCCATTCATTCCTTTTTCTTTAAAAATTCTTTTAAAGAATGATAAAATGGAAAGTATTTCATATAGTTATCGTTAATAATAGGAGAGTGTTCTGGTAATGGTTATAAGGATATGTATATAAGTGGATGGATTGAAGAGACACGTACTCCGGAATTATCAGGATTCGGTGTCGACTGGATGTGTGGGATACATATCATGGTCCATCAATAAAACAAAGCTCAAAGCATAGTGAATTTGGTTATCTGGGGATAAAGCTTTTAATTCTTCTAACAAAAGCAATATGCTTTTAATCTGAATTCTCTTTATAAATATTTATTTGCTCCCCTTTGCATAGTTTTCATAAGTGGCATGCAGTATATGTGGAATTCTAATTATGTAACTCCATTTACAGTTTGAATAACTATTTTAGAAGTGACTTTGGCTAATAAGATTGGCTCTTTTAAAATCTGGAAAATTCATGAGGTTGTTAAAGAGATAATGTTAGTTTGGAAAGACCAGTTAAGAATGTATTGATTAATAACTCCAAAATGAACTGTTTGCTTTTCTGCATAGCTATAGCTATATCCTGCACAAATCTTGCTTCACTCAAAGGGCTTCAGATGGGGTACCTGTTGAGTTTTGCTGTTGTTGGTCAGTAACACGTTATATACAAGCACTGAGAAATTCTTCATTTCTTATTTAGAACCTAAGATCCTTTTATATCATAATTTTGTTTTAAAAACATCAAGAATTTGAACTTGCTCTTTTTTTTTTGACCTTGTGCTTATAGTTCTGACTCACGAAAATAACGGACATAATTGTGAAGTTATGATTGTTTTAGCTTGGAAACACAAACTTACTACGTTTTTCTTGTTTTGACAACTGACCTTTTTAATGAAACAACATGCAGTTTTTCTGCAGAATATATAATTTAAAACCTGATGAAAATGTATTCCTTCTTACTTGTACTATTTATGTGTTGTTTTTTCTTTAGAAATAAAAGGAGCACCTTCTCAACTCTTACAAAATACATTTAACATCACTTAAATCTTTTTTAATTTCACTAAGAAAGGACAATCAAAATTTTTTTTAAAAAAAGATAAGTATTACATCACAATTGATAACATAATTGCAATAGTTAGACTTACTTATCATGTGACAATAAATAACTTGATCTGTGATCCCTGATAAAGCATAACAGTAGAAAAATCCTTTGATGGGATAAATATGTTTCTGTTTTACAGGTGACCTCCAGAAAATACCACCTTCAAACTCACACCTGTCTGGAGAACTGAACATAGTCTGAAATAACAGTTTTCAGGGGTTCTCATTTTGTCATGTGATTTTCTAAGGTGTTTTTATTTTCTAAAAAGTATTTTAAATTCATTCTAGGTGAAAATGCCCTGATTTACTCAAAACTTAGAGCTTGGAAGATGAGGCTCTGGCATTTGACATCTTAATCTTAGCACTACTAGAAGTGTATAAAATCTGAAATGCCATTGCTGCAACACTCCTCTTCCTTCCACTTAGTTTCTTTTTCTACTCATTTTAACAAACGTAGTAGAAATTGTGTCTTTAATTAGTGTATTGTCAGCCTTCTTTAATGCTCTTGTAGAGGTAATTGTACTTAGTGCAAAAACAACCACTAGGTGAACACATTCATTACGCAGAAGAGGAAATGGTGAGGAAAATATCTGTCTTTAATTCTCCTATCCTCCCGTAAGCGCTTTCTCTGTGTTGGGCACATGGCCATAGTGGTGACAGCGCTGCCTGGAACCTTGCCCTCATGGAACCTTGTCCTCATGGAACCTTGCCCTCATGGAGCTTGGCATCTAAGTGGGACCAGCAGACAGATATTTATACAAACAAACTGGACAATTACAGAAGATAAAAAGTGTTATAGGTTGGGCTGTGGCTGGACGGTGTGTACATGCCTGTAATCCAGCACTTTGGGAGGCTGAGGCGGGAGCATCACTTAAGGAGCCCAAGAGTTTGAGACCAGCATGGGCAACATGGTGAAACCCAATCTCCACAAAAACCACAAATATTAGCTGGGTGTGTTGGCTTGCACCTTAAATCCCAGCTACTTGGGAGGCAGAGGTGGGGAGATCGCTTGAGCCCAGGAAGTTGAAGCTAAATGAGCCCTGATCACCGCATTCCAGCATGGGTGACAGACCGTGTCTCAAAAAAAGAAAAGTCTTATAAAAGCAGATTAAGATGGTAATACCATTGTCACTGGGAAATGCTATTTCTGAATTAAGAAATAATTTGTCTTCATCGTTTATTCTCTATGGAGATGAGAGATGATATTTGAACTGTCCTGCTCAGTGAGATCATTTCTTGGAGATCAACTTGGGGGATTGGATTTGTTCCTTGAAGCATTCATGATTATTATCACTGCCACAGCTTATTCATCATTCCACACATATTTATTGAGGGCCTGATGTATTTCAGGTTCTATTTTCCCTTGGGAGAACAAAACTGAGAAATTCCCTATCTCAATGAATTTGCCATATGTTCTCTACTTTTTAAATAAAATCCACTTTCCAAGCCTCTCAGTTGTATAATGATCTAACTCTATTCATTCATTGTCCAACCTGAGGAACATAGGGAGATCCTATCTCTACAAAAAATGTAAAGGTTAGTCAGGTGTGGTGTTACGCACCTGTGGTCCCAGCTGCTCTGGAGGTGGAGGTGGGAGGATTGCTTGAGCCCAGGAGGTCGAGGCTGCAGTGATTACTGCATTGTAGCCTGGTGGTAAAAATGAGACCCTGATATGTTTTTTTTTTTAAATTTCTTTCTTCCAACACGAATTTTCTATATTTAAACCTGAATTATAGGAGAAAGTACCTAGCATGTACAGCAAGATATAAGATTTAATTGATTACTTAATATGATCTGTTTTGTTGTTGCTAATCTTTTGAGGCATATTTAACATTTGTTTAACTTATTTTCTTAATTCACATTAAATCTTTTTTTCAGTGAGAAATTGTCCAGCTTGTGCACTAGCAGAGAGGTTGCCAAATCTACCTTAAGCAGGAGAGTTTGGCCTCCTTTACCCTTTGAAACTTGAGACACATCAAAGTCCTGGGAGATGTGGTATTTATTGACTTCTTGTGGCTGGCTCTTGTGTATAGATATCCTCACAGATTTCCTTGGTATATGTAGATCTTGATCACCATTCTGACAGTCAAAAAGGCCGCTTAGCTGTCTTCTGCCAGGACATAATCAGAAAATGTTGCTGATTTTTCTGCCGTCTTTGAAAAACTATTCTGACCAAGATACAATTGCCTAAGGGAGCATGTGCTCACTTACTTTATTTGAATCTTCACTCCTTATATGCTCACCTCTAAACACTCGCAGTGATAATTTTAACCTTTCATTTCTGAAAGTTATTCCTTTACTCTGCCCTCCCTCAAATGGTAGCCACTAGCTAAAGTGTGTTTTGAGCACTTAAAATGTGACTGGATTGAGATGTGCTATAACTGTAAAGAACACACTAGATTTAAAAGATTTAATGTAATAAAAAAATGTAACATATCTCGTGAACATTTTTATATTGATCGTATAAAGGAATGATAGTGTTTTGGCTATATTGGACTAAGTAAAATATGAAGACTGATTTCATTTACTCTTTACCTTTTTAATGCGACGATTTAAAATTACCAATGTAGATTGCAATATATTTTTTTTGGACAGTACTGCTTTAAAATAGGAATGCATATGGAATGTTCAAAATGGTTTTGGAAGCCTGGATTCGTTGATCTATTTGAAGAGTTGCATGATTACTCTAGAGCAGTGTAATGTGTAAATTTAGAACAACTTCATGATCGATAATTTACTTCCTTGTAAAGCAAGTGAAAGTTTTAATATTGCATGTGGGAAGAAGGTGACATTTACAAATGGGCAAATTTCAAACTGGACAAAGCAGTGTCTTCATTGCTGCCCAGATTACCTACTCAACATAGATTGAGACTAATGTGAATAATGGAAAATGTTTTGGTGGAAATTTTAGGCTTAAACAATTTTTAAACGATTACTTTAAAATTGTGATTATTGACCTGAATGTTATTGTATTGGGGTTTGCTTTGGCTGTGTGTTAATGCTTTGATGAGTTTCCGGACATCAGAGTAAATCAAGGGGTTTTCTATTTGCAAGTCTGCACTTGATTATAGGAGAGCAGTTATGGTAGCTAATTAGCTTGCTTCTTTTTTTAATGGCTGTTTCTTAATCTGTCGCACGAGTGAGAAAAGAAAAATACTAATTTGATAAGGATGTCTGACTTATTCTTAGTTAACTGAGTTCATTATTGGTTTTAAAAGCAGAAGCTTGCAATAAACAATATGAAAGTTTCAAACAATTGTATGAGAAATTATTGAAAATGAAATTTTAAAAGCAAGAAATTTTATTACTTTCAAAAATAGTTTACTGTTTAAAACAGTTGCTCTATCTCAGGCAGCATGGCTCAGGAGAATATGTGATTTTAGGAGTAAAAGATAAAAAGAAGATATTGATTTTTTTGGTCAAGCATCTAGAAACTATTTTCTGTAACATCTGGCTCCGCTATGAAGAGAAGAGGTGAGTCAAGTTGCTGACAAAAATTGGTGGATGAAGAAATGGGGATAGAAGCATATTATTTCAAGGCACCAAGGTGCAAAACAGTTGAAAAACTAAAAATACAGTGTCTATATTATATATAAACAATGTGAAGGTGGTAAAATAAGAAGATATAAATGATATGGAGAAAACCAGAGAGGAAGTGAAACTAAATACATTTAAAAGGAATTGATGGGGCTGGCATGGTGGCTCACGCCTGTAATCCCAGCACTTTGGGAGGCTGAGTCGTGTGGATCACTTGAGGCTAGAAGTTCAAGATCAGTCTGGACAACATGGTGAAACCCCATCTCTACTAAAAATACAAAAACTAGCTGGGCATGGCAGTGCACACCTGTAATCCCAGCTACTCATGAGGCTGAGGCACGAGAGTCTCTTGAACTAGGAGATGGAGGTTGCAGTGAGCCAGATGGAGTCACTGCACTCCAGTCTCGGTTACAGAACAAGACTCTGTTTAAAAAAAAAATAGGAATTGATGGGACTGGTCTAGGACTTGACTTTCATTATAAACTACGTATACCATTCGATTTGTTGCCATTTGCCTGCATTTCCTTGACACATATTTTTGATTTGGTCTTAAAATTTGCCTCTTTCTTAAAATCTGCTTCATGATTAGGCTTAAAATCTGCTTCAGGATTAGGCTACATTGGAATTATTGAAGTGCACACAAAAATGCAAATTTCTAAATCCCACTGCAGAACAACTGAATCACATTTGCTGGGTGTGATGCTTGGAAAGCTGTGTTTTAACTTGCCTCTCAGTGGATTCTTGAGAACGTTAAAGTCTGAGAACCTTTATAAGGTATGGCAGAATATATCTAGTTAAGTTTTTTTTGACATGTGTGATTACATGTAAAATATTTCAGCAATGAGTAAAATGAATGTGCCGTACAAGTTCATAGCAATTGGTGTAATATACAACGCCAGCCAGCCATGCACAGCATAATATTGGGACTGGCAAAGTACTTTTCTATTGCTGATTGGGACCAACTATTTCTATGTCAGTAGTAAGTTGTTGGCAATGTACTTCCCAGTCTTTGGGCTAAGCAAGTCTTTTCTTTGTATTTTGTAATTGTACAAAATTAGGACATAGGAATATTAACCCTAAATGAAATATGTCCTTTTCTTTTTCTTTTTTTTTCACAGTGGTGGTGGAGTATGCTGTGATCATGTCAGGGGTGATATCTTTGTCTCAGCCAGGTTACCCTATGCTGCAAAATACACACGGCTTCTATGATTTTTTTTTCTTTTTTTCTTTTTGAGATGGAGTCTCGCTCTGTTGCCTAGGCTGGAGTACAGTGGCATGACCTCAGCCCTCTGCCTCCTGGGTTCAGGCAATTCTCCTGCCTCAGCCTCCCGAGTAGTTGGGATTACAGGTGTGTGCCACCATGCCAGCTAATTTTTGTAACTTTTTTTTTAGTAGAGATGGGGTTTCACCAAGTTGGTCAGGCCAGTTTCGAACTCCTGACCTCAAGCAATCCACCTGCCTGGGCCTCCCAAAGTGCTGGGATTATAGGTGTGAGCCACCATGCCTGGCCTTTGCTTCTGTGATATTTTGACAGCAGATAACAGAAAACCTGGACTCAAAGTGGCTTAAATTTGAAGGATATTTATTATCTCAAATGACTAGAAGACAGCAGCAGTAAGCTGTAGTCAGGGCATAAATCAGTGGCTTAAGCGATGTCATTAGGGACCTGGTTATGCAGGCTTTGTCCTAAGGCTTATTTTGCTCCTGTTTTCAAGATGAATGCCATTCACAGTAGACACTGTGTTTACTCCCTTGTTCAGGTTTAACAGAAGGTAAAAGAAGAAATCTGTCACCCAAGCCAGGAACTCAGATCCTCACCTTTATTCCCACTGGAGCTAGGGATGGGGCCGTATTACTTTAAGTCCTGAGAGAGAGAGATGTGGATACCTCAAAAAAAAAAAAAAAAAAAGGATTTTTTTTTGTTTTCTTCCAGGAAGGAAGAAGGCACATTGTAGGAAACAACATTGCCCACTGTAAAAACATTTTAATATATTTCACTGACAGGTAGTACTGCGAACTTGTAAAATAAATAAGGCAAACTTTATGCATAGACAAAATAGAAATGTGACAGTGGTATGTAATACTTGTTGAGTACTTACTATATGTTGGCATCATTTTGAATTGTTTTACGTGTAAAAACTATTAAATCATTTAGTACAGCATCAAAGCTTTTATTTAGTACACTAGCGAACTAAATTAAGTACTCTTGCTACCTCTACTTTATGGATTAGGAAACTGGCACATAGACTAAGTGACTTGTCTGAGGTAACGTAGGTAGGAAGTGGCTGACAGGGATTTTAATTGTCAGGCTGGCTCCAGAGCTCACTCTCGTAACTGCTGCAGTATGACTGACTCAGTAGATACTCAGTGAGTTTGGTCGTCATGAGTGAGTGTGGCCTTTAAGAGATGATTGTCATGGTGTTCATAATCAAGATTTTTGTACATTCCTTTAGGGTGGTTCTAACAGCTTTCATAGATACGATATTACATTTAAACCAGCTGGATATGGCTGGCTAATGCCTGTAATCCCAGTGCTTTGGGAAGCCAAGGCAGGAAGATTGCTTCAGGCTAGGAGTTTGAGACCAGCCTGGGCAACAATATTGAGACCCTCCTCTCTACAAAAAGCTAAAAAATTAGCCAGGTGTGGTGGTGCATGCCTGTAGTCTTAGCTACTCAGGAAGCTGAGAGAATCACTTGGGCCCAGTATACAGTGAGCTGTGATCACACTACTGCATTCCAGCATGGTTGACAGACTGAGACCCTGTCCCTGGAAAAAAAAAAAAAAAGAAACAGAGTGACTACTGAGCCATAGTACAGAGGTAATAATAAAAGTAGTAGTGGCGTATAGGCAATAATAATAATACCAACCTACATTCCTATTATAAACCTGTTCGGATGGACTTATATTTATGGTTTCAACAGTATTAAGGCGCTTATTTTAAATTTCCTGAGGCCATGTACTCATAAATAAAAGAATAAATAAAAACATCAGTGCTTTTAATAATTTCACGGTCTGGTTATAAGAAAACAAACGTGTAAACAAATAGCTGCAGTAGAGAGTAGTAAGTACTAAAAAAGAGGAAGAAGCCAGCCTCTAAAGAGGAGTTCTGCTGGTTTTTGGAATGGGAGAAGTTTGGGAAAGTTTTCAAGAAGAAAGAGGTTTTGAAAGATGAGTGGGTAGACCTGAACAGGAGAATTAGATCCAACATTTCAGGAAGAGTAAACAGCATATGCAAATGTACTGAAAACTGAAGAGCTTGCCTTTTGTGGGTAATGTAAGTAAGTACTTTCTTATGTCCCTAAAAAAGGACCAAGAAGAAGGTAGTAGGAGCTTAGATTAGGCAAATACTTTTGGAATATTTAAATTATTAAGATTTGCTGAATTTCAATTCTTTGAGATATATTTGTTTGGATATGGGCAAGAGAAGTATTTTTAACCTTCAACATCTTGATTTTTAGTTTAGATACAGAACCTGTGTTAATTGAAGGCCTTGATACTCATTAAAACAGATCAATTAGGGATCATTAGTTATATTGCAATTTCTTCACTGCATATACATAAAAGAGCTCTTTAGTAACACTGGGTGTGTTTCAAAGTACTGGAGTGTGTTGTTTGAAGAATGTCATTAATGAATTTTTTTACATTTAAAATGAAGAGCCAGTTTAAACACATATATTGATACAGCATACCAGAAAAATAAATCTATTCCATAAAGCATGGTATGTATCTACTCAAGCCATTGGATGACCTTATGTCAATTTCATTGTAGTGGAAGTGTCCACCTTCTATGGTTGTTTCAAGTTAGGACAGGCACTTACCTTACTGTTTTATAACTCCACCTTTTTGAGATAGTTTCTTTTTATTTTATTTATTCTGAAAAAAATTAAGCATTAAGAAAAACACAGGAAAATAATGTATTGAAAATAATATTCTCACTTTTGAGATTAAGTAGTTTTCTTTCATATTTTAGATGTCTTTTTCTTTTTTTTTAAGAAGTGTTACACATATAGTAAAACCCACCCTCTGATCACTTCAGCTCCCTTTCTCTCCAGAGGGTATCACTGTCCTGAAGTTGTTAAAGATCATTTTCAAGTACATTTTTATGCTTTGATTAACATGTATTCATAAGCAACATGTAATATTGCTATCAGTGTCCATTTTAATTTTTACATCAACTCTTTTGCACTGTATATTTTCTTGCAAATCGCATTTTTACACTTTTTTGAGATTTAAGACTTTCATGTAGATATAGCTCATTCAATTTAATTGCTATTTTTATGTATCCATTCCCCATATGGAGGGTCAGTTGGAAGGTTTTCACCCATTTATTATGCACAGTCCTTCTGTGAGAGTCTTTGTGTGTCTCCTTGTGTACTTGTGCCAGACTCTCTTGAGGGTAGGTTTTTAAATGGACTAATTAGATTAAGATATGCTTATGCTTAACAACTGCTTTCTAAATTGTTTCTATCAAATTATACTCGAGGCAGAAATACACTGATTCCTCCATTCTTGCCAATAACGGATGTTACATTTTAAAATTGGTATCAGTGTTATATGTTAAATCATTTTAATTTGTATCTACTGATTATTAGTGAGTTTGGGGTTTTTTTAGTTTATTGAAAGTTTGGAATCTTATTTCTATGTCATTTAATATGCCTTTACATGTATTTTATTGAATTTTCACATTTTTCTGAGTAATTTTTAGGAAACTTTTATGTTTTCAGATCGTTGGTTTATGAGATGTAAAAGTTTTCATGTATGTTATCAATATTTCTAACTTGAAAAATTATTCAATTCTCTTCCTGTACCATTTGACTATAGCTGGAGCCTTTTGATGGTAAACTTCTTGGGATTGTTAATGTCAGAAGCAAGCCTACTTAACAGTAATTTTAGTGATTAAGATTTTAAGAGCTCAAAAGTTTGCATTTTAGTTCAAGCTCTTCATCATTTTGGGTAGTTATTTTATTTTTTGCTTTTGCTTTTAAAACTATTTCTCAGCATATTATGACTAACCTCCAAGTGGATAGTCTTTCGAATTTCTGAATAGAAATAACAATGTGTTATAATACACATAAACACATACTCACATGTACAAATATCACAGAGCTTAGGACAGTATCTACAATAACTTGAAGTAATAATAATAAGAAAAAGAATAGCACCAAGTATGTTCATTTTTTGAAAACAGATAGCTTGTTTTCAGAGTGCTTTTACTTAAGCAAAACTTGGTTAATGTGAGTATTACCTAATTCAGATTCTAATAGTGCATTATGATGCTAGCATACAGAGATTGTTTTCTGTAATTTTCATATACTGGTATGCATGTATCTTGCTTATGAAATTGCTACTCAAGGGTTTCATAATTTACACAAAAATCGATATTGCTACTTTTTTATTGGGTAGTCTTGTCTAAAGTGTTAGATTTGCATATATTTATGTAGTTCACTAAATATCTTCTTTGTAAACTGATATAAAACCTTTTTGTACACATTTGTAAGCGCATTTACTGATTTAATAAATCAAAGGCTTGTCAGACATGCATCAGTGTAAATTGTTGTTTATATATAATGTAAGCATAATTCTTAAGATAGAGTATATAATTCATCACTCAATTAACATAAATATATAATCAGTCAGTAGTTTATCTTCCAGGGTTCAACTCTTGCAGGAAAAAAACTCTGTTTGATACATAGAAATTAAAATTGTTGCTCATTGATGATTTTCCTAGGTGTTTTTGCATTCTGTAGAGCTTTAAAGTTAGATTTTTTATTTGTTTTACTCATTTCACTAAAGCAATTAAGTAGACTTTACAGCAACCTAGAATGCATAATCTTTTTCTCAAAAACAGGCAAGTTGTGAAGGTTTGATTAAAATTCTTAAGTCATTAAAGCTAACCTTTTAAAATCTGAATATAATTAATTGAATGATTTGAAGATTTACCCTTTGGAAGATATTCCGAAGAGATACGAGATAGAGAGATAGAGATAAATAGGGGAGAGCGCCAGCCAGCGAGAAAGAGAAACAGAGAGAATACCAGTATTATCTTACTTCTATTTGCATACAGTTGCCTGATCTCTTGCTTTCTATGGGGAATTAAGCAAAAATTTATGCATTTCTTCAGGTAAACACATATTTGGTTACAAATCCAAACAGTACTGGAAGGCTTGTGTCAACCATATTTAACATATATTAAAACAATATGCTTGAATTGCGCTTTATTGTTTTAGACTGTTTCTGTTGAATGCCTGTTATATTAGTGAGTATTTATCTTTCCAACATTTCCTTACCTCATAATCTCTCACCATAGCCATTTCATAATTTTTGGTTGCATCATTAATCAGCATATTACAATGACTATACTGTTACACCATAAGTATATATTTTTTCCTTCTACTTTTTATTTTTCCTAGAGTTAAAAGTTGCTTATGATTTTTTCCATAGCTTGTATTTTGCTGTGTATCAATTACTGTTTTCCCCAATAATTTCAGAACATCAGTCATGGCTCTCAATAATTTTCCCAAATAGTCTAACACAACAAATATATTTTCAATAACAAATTAGTTTTGCCTTCTCCTCCTCCCTAGAGACCTTCCCAGAGCTCTCCTTTTTTCTTGAGTCTTAACCATTGTGAAGGTTTGATTAAAATTCTTCAGTCATTGAAGCTAACCTTTTAAAATCTAAATATAATTAATCGAAAGATTTGAAGATTTACCCTTTGGAAGACATTCCAAAGAGATATGAGATATTTTCTGAGAGTGTGATGCACATCTGTTGTCGTGTGTCATATCCTCTTTTCTGGATGCCATATTCTTTTTGTTTCATTGAAACCTAATATTTCGCAGCCAAAGAAAAGTTGTAGAGAAGGTCATTTTTAAAAAAAATCTCTGTCTAAAATACCTTTATTTTACCCTCATTTTAGTTGATAGATTGAGAGGGTATGAAATTTTGTGCTAGAACTCATTGTCCCTCATAATTTTAAAGATTGCTCACTACTCTACTACTATGCAGTGTTGCTGGTTGTGGGTAATCTAGTACCTTTCTCATTTCTTCTTTTTTTTTTTTGAAACGAAGTTTCATTCTTGTTGCCCAGGCTCGAGTGTAATGGCACAGTCTCAGCTCACTGCAGCCCTCTGCCTCCTGGGTTCAAGCAATTCTCCTGCCTTAGCCTCCCAAGTAGATGGGATTATAGGAGCTTGCCACCATGCCAGGTTAATTGTATTTTTAGTAGAGACAAGTTTTCACCATGTTGACCAGGAGGCTGGTCTTGAGCTCCTGACTTCAGGTGGTCCCCCTGCCTCAGCCTCCCACAGTGCTGGGATTACAGGTGTGAGCCACTGCGCCCAGCCTCTAATTTCTTTATATGTAACTTGCCTTTGTATATCTTTGAAGTTTATCAAATCTCTTTTTTACCTGAAGTTCTGAAATTTCACAATGATATGGCTTGATGTAGACTTAAAAAAGTATTAGACTTGGTGTTTACTGCAAAGCCTTTCACTGTGGAGGCTCCTGTCTTGCGAAATTTAAAAACAAAATGATTGTTATTATTTTTTAGAGACAGTGTCTTACTCTCTCAACCAGGCTGGAGTGCAGTGGCATAATCATAGCTCACTGCAGCTTCAAACTCCTGGGCTTAAGCAATTCTCCTGCTTCAGCCTCCCAATTAGCTGGGACTATAGGCACTTGCCACCAAGCCTGGCTGATTTTTTATTTATTATTTTGTAGAGAGGGGGTCTCAGTATATTGTCCAGGATGGTCTTGAATTCCTCGCCTCAAGCAATCTTTCCATCTTAGCCTCCCAAAGTGCTAAGATTACAAGTATTAGCCACCATGTTGGGCTAGGAAATTTTTTTTGTATTATATCTTTGATAACATTTTCTTACCTCCTTCTACTCCTTTTTTGGGATCTACCATTGAACTTCCTGTAGTGATACTCACTTTCTTATGTTTACTTTCATATTTTCACCTTTTCATCTCTTTATTATGTTTTTTCAAGATTTCATTTTTACATTCCAACCATTTTGTTGAATTTTTAATTTTTGACATCATATTTTAAATTTCCAAAGGCTTGTTTTAAATTCTTTTAGTTTTTTCTTTTGCAAATGCTTTTCAGAGCATTTTGTTCTTGTTTCATGTGCCAAGTATAGTCTGGCTATCTATATTTCTTTTAAGTAAATTTAAATTTCTGTTTCTTTCATTGCTTCTGTTTTCTCTAAGTGCCATTTTCTATTTGTTCTTGTCTTTCATATTTATGTTGTAGGCTTTTCTCAAATGTCTACTGATGTTTCACTGTCTATTCACATTTAAGAATAAGATGGTGGGGAAAATATTTTAATAATAATGTAAGCATCATGGTAGGAGATAATCAGTAAAATTATTGAGTGCAGTAGCCACAGGCTTACAGTGTCTTCATTCTGACAGCAGCACTGTTTTCATCTCTGGATTCATGCAGAGATGAAATTTACTCATCTCACAAAAAAATGCCAGTGTTATTAAGCCCTTGTACTGTTGCAAAAATATAAAAAAGAGAAAAGAAAAAGACCAAGGGACCAAAAGAGAGATAAATAGACAAAGAATCAGAGATGGATGGATGGACTGAGTGTGTGCACAAGTGTGCATGTGTGTGTGTGTTGAGGGGGAGAGACCAGGAGAATATGAGGTAGAATGAGAATATATATATATGTATATGATATTTGTGAAATGTGCTTAATGACCCTTTAATAGAAATAAACTGTTTAGATTTTGGAAAGAAAAAAAAATGACAAAGAAGGAAAATTTATATTAATCTTTTTTTTTCCTGGGGCTAATTATTATGTTTTCATTTTATTACATCATTGTGCTCCTGAAGTATTTTCTCAGTTATTTAAAGGTGATGAAACAAGCGCCTTCCATTAGCTCATTACTTATATGCACATTTCTGCTGCTGTTATCATAGGGAAATCCATTTGCAAGTCTGGCTTAATCTGAAATATAAATTGAACTTTTTGTACTTTCATGGGTCTTTTCTTAGATTCCATCTCCCACTGATTTTTTTAATCTATATTTTGAGGTAAGTTTTGAGGCAGTGGTTCCTTTTGCCTTAGAACTTTATCAGCAATAGTGATAGAGAAGTATTCACATGCCTCATGCTTCTTCTTTATATCTTTTTTATTTAGAAGGAAATCTTTTTTAAAAAAGGTTTTTTTGTTTTTTTTTTTAGTTAAAGAAAGCTTTTTTATTTAGAAGAACCAGAGATTAGAATAGGTTCAAATGGTATGATGGTACTTAGATCTTACTGGGTCCTGCTAATTCTTACTTCTCGTCTGGTAGGAACCTTTTTAGAGAGAAATAAGGATCAGCTTGTTTTTGTGTGGATGCTTCTTTGTGAATTTTCTTGGATTTCATTGTCTCTTCTCAAATTATCAACATTTAAATATAACAGATATAGCAATGTAACTCTGATACAGACTTTTGAAAAAGAACACAATTTTTGTTTCTGTGTCTGCAACCTACATATATGATTGAAAAGTTTTATATCTAACAGGTTCTAATTTTGATGATCTATTGCCTAGTCACAGTGTATCTCTCTCTATCTCTATATTACAACTATCTGTAATTATTTATCCCAATCTATGTCTCTATCTGTATAAACACATATACATATGTGCCTGCGCAGACAATCAGAAGTATATATTTGAATGTTTTCCTGGCCTCAGTATATATTAGTATGTTTAACTGTCTTTTAGATGGTGAATTGTTTGTTGTTACTGGTCGTCTGTAAAATGGCATCTTGATTCCTCCTCTGATAAACACAATTATGTTATTATGAAACTGTCCTCCCTCATTTTACCTCCTCGAGCTTGGGAATTAGGCCAATTGTAGAGCTCTTTTGACCGTCTTGCTGTTTTAAACATTGCTGTTCATCAGCCATTCATTACTACCTTTTTCCAGGCAAAGGGAACACCAGTGTTGTTCAAGAAATCATATCTTAGTGAAAATGCATGGCCCTCTCTCCAGCTCAGGAATAAAAGCCAGTTAGTTTAATTCAGTCATGTGACTTGTCCCTCTTGCCTGCCTCTTCTCTCCTCCCCCAGCTGTCAGGACTTGCTAGGAACTTGTCTCTGGCCTCTGAAATGTGAAGAGTTTGCTCTGTGGCTTCTGGGGCTGACTTTCATTCTCATGCCTAGATGTGATTTGGGGACTGCAGCACCTGGCATGTGGGCCACATAGGAAGTTAGCCCAGAGGTAGTTTGAAACTGCTGCTATATTGTGAGAAACAGAAAGACAAAATGGGCAGAATTTGCGTCCTCGAGTCCTTGGTTGAGCTGCTGAATTAATCATGGACCACCTCCCTCCACCCTACCCCCTAGCCCTCCTGCCTGTAATCCAACATACATTTCTGCACTTACATAAGAAAATCAAGGTCCTTATTTTTAAAGTCAGTTCGGTTTAGGTTTTTGACAGTTGTAGCCAAAAACATTATTGCTAAGACACATCACTGCCTTATCTTTTTTTTTTTTTCTGTTTTCCACAGTGATTACTAACATCTGTTAACTCTCTTTTCTCTTTTAAGCAAGTAGAGTAAATCATAAGCCAGATTATTTGTCTAGCATTACTGTGGTAATGACAAACCTTCTGAGAAACAAAAATCTAAATGATTTTTCTGCAAAGTTGATTTATCTATATCCTTAAGGACCTCATTACTTCCTCCATTTCTGACAAATATTTATGGTGCAATATTATTTTCTTCTTTATCAATTTTAAGACTATTAAGTTTTACTACTCTCCACTTTATTCAGAGTGATTTGAAATAGATTACAAAGTGAAACAGCAGAAACTAAATTATGTTATGTCCAAAATAATAAGCACAGCATATGCTGACCTTTGGCTGTTGGTTACCATTTTACAGACTTCTCCCAGGGTTATATATTTACAAATAGATATTTGGCATTTTATATTTAAGAAACCCAACTTCTGGGAATTCTTCTGTTTCTCTACGATGCATATGTACTGTTTTGTGGAGCACCTATAATACAGCAAAATGAATTGTTTGTGTTTTTATGCTTCGATTACTGTACTGTTGACAGCAGAAATGAACAGGAGCTTTTTAGAATCTATGCAACTTCATATTGATTTTATGTCAGTATCAGACATTTTATTGTAAAAAATGTACAGAATAGTAAAAGTTGTAAAGATTCTTGGCAAAACAAGTGACCAGATTTTTAAATTATTGTAGTTAGTGATTTCTTCATTCACTTATTCGGTAAGCACTGAGGACCGGGCTCTGCAGGCCACCCTGAATATAGAAGAGTCCTTGTCCTGGTGGCATTCTCAGAGCAGGGGTAAAATAAAGCAGCAAACATTAGAATATAATGCCATAAGTGACAGGATAAGTACAGGGAGCCATGGGAGCTTGTAGGATGAGAAAGAACCAAGTATGGATCTGGTGGGGAGGAGGAGGAGAAAGATATTTTGGTATAAGGACTGTTTAAAACAGGGAAGTGGGAAGGAACAAGGTTGGTTGGTTTTTTTTTTTTTTTTAGTTTTGTTGCTAATATTAGGCTTGATGTGATTTTATTGTGTTTAGGAGGTTTTTTAAAAAATTTATGTCAGTGGCATGAAATAAATTATAATAAACTCAATGCGGAGATACACTAATAACAACTAACATTTATTCAGTACTTTATTCGGTGTTTCCATGGCAATTAAAAAAGTGAGTATAGGAGTCAAAAGGCTTGACCTTTTTTTTTTTTTTTTTCGAGACGGAATTTCACTCTTGTTGCCCAGGCTGGAGTGCAATGGCATGATCTCTGCTCACCACGACCTCTGTGTCCCGGGTTCAAGTGATTCTCCTGCTTCAGCCTTCGGAGTAGGTGGGATTACAGGCATGTGCCACCATACCCCACTAATTTTTGCTTTAGTAGTGATGGAGTCTCTCCCTGTTGGTCAGGCTGGTTTCAAACTCTTGACCTCAGGTGATCGGCTGGCCTCGGCCTCCCAAAGTGCTGGGATTATAGGCGTGAGCCACCGTGCATGGCCGGATTGACTTTTTAAACTACTGGTGTCGGATTTTTGCTGTGTTATTAGGTTTACGTATATTAATTGTGCTTCATTTTCCCCATTTGTAAAATGGCTGTGAGAGTCATCTATATGGCATGGATCTGTGGTGAGGTTTCAGTAAGTTAATTCTCCAAAGGACTTAAAGGACTTACAAGAGTGCTTGCTCATATTGAGTGCCTGATAAACATTAGTTATTATTATTATTATTATTATTATTTTGAGATAGGGTCTCATTCTGTTGCCCAGGCTGGAGTGCAGTGGTGTGATCTCGATTCACCACAACCTTGGCCTCCTGGGCTCAAGCAGTCCTCCCACCTCAGCCCTCCAAGTAGTTAGGACTACAGGCATGTGCTGCCACTATGCCTGGCAAATTTTGGTGTTTTTTTGTAGAGATGGGGTTTTGCCATGTTGCCCAGGCTGATCTTGAACTCCTGGGCTCGTGATCTGCTCCCCTGAGCCTCCCATAGTGCTGGGATTATAGGTGTGAACCATCATACCCTGCTATTAGTATTTGGATAATCTCATTTAATTTTTTTCAATAATCCGATAATGTAATGTGGTAGACAGAATAATGGTCACCAAGATGTTCATATCCTAATCCTGAAACCTGTGACTATATTACCGCACATGGCCAAAAGGAATTTGCCAGTGTGATTAAATTACGATTTTAATATGGGGAGGTTACCTTCATAATCATGGTGAGCCCAGTGTCATCACAAGGATCCTTAGAAGTCAGCGAAGGAGATGGATTGAAGGAAGCAGAGGGATAGAGTCAGAGACCTGAAGCTGTTACGCTGCTGCCTGGCAAGATGGAAGGAGCCACGAGGCAAGGATTGTGGACAGGTTGTAGAAGATAGAAATGTAAGGAAATGGATTTTCTCCTGGAGCTCCTGGCAGGAATGTGGCCCCCTGACACCTTGATTCTAGTCTGGTTGAACCCATCTAATTGGAATTCTGACCTGTAGGTCTGTAAGATGATACATTTGTGGCATTTTAAGCTACTGGTGACTTTTCTTTCTTTCTTTTTTTAATCTCAGCATTCATCAAGCACAAACTTTATTTTGAGGGTATCCGAGTCTGGTTTTCAAGACAAATGCCTAACCCATGTTAGAAAGAGCCCCACATTTTCTCCTCTGTCCAGACTCCAGAACTCAATACCTTATACTCAACAGCTCACTGACACCAATTGCTGCTTGGCCCAACATAGACAAACAGATTCAAGCTAGGAAGGGATGGGAAATAAGACATTGAAATTCTGTCACTACCTTTTCATAATCCTCTTAGAACAGAATTATAGTTTTTCTTCCTTTTTTTTTTTTACCATTTATTCATTTATTTAATTTTTAAATTTTATTTTACTTCAAGTTCTGGGATATATGTGCTGAATGTGCAGGTTTGTTACATAGGTATACATGTGCCATGGTGGTTTGCTGCACCCATCAACCCATCATCTAGGTTTTAAGCCTCGCGTACATTAGGTAGCCACTGGTGATTTTTCACAGTATCAACAAAAAACAAATGCAAATAGGCATTATTCCCATGTCGCAAAGGAGGAAATGTGTTCTGGGGGATTAAGTTATTGCCAAGATTATTGGAAACTGTGGGATGTGGGCAGGGCTGTGGACTGATAGGCTTCAAGATGGAGGCAGTCACCCAGAGAGGGAACCAGGGCCTTACAATTCTGTGTGCAGCTTTTCAACTAGCCCCTGGTTTTAGCCTCCCTCCTGTAGCTGACTGTGTGTACAAGGCTGGGGCTTTGCCAGGGTCTTTAAGGCAGGCATTGCTTGTGTTACCTTAGCTGTCATTCCTGTAGGAAGTCCACACTAGCTTTTCCATACTGTTAAATGACTTCACATTTTTCTAGCCCCTTCTGTTTTTCTAAAAGTGTTAGACAACTGTCTTCCATGATTCCTCTTTCATTCTTTCTCTCTGTAAATTTATGCTTTTTTTCCCCTTCATTTACTGTAATTTTAGTAAGTGTTCATCAGGAAACAGTCGTCAGTGGCCAGCTAACTATTCCCAACTCAAGCAGCATATTAATATTTGACCCAAGGCAGTACCTCTTCTCACTTCAGCACTCTCAAAAGACTGCAAATAGTGACATAAATTCAGCCAAGAAGACCGCAGTGCAAAAGCATCTCACACGGTCAAAAGCATCTCACATGGTCTTTCTGAAAGCACCCACAGTTACTGCTCTTGAGTAACCTTTCCATATAGTAGAACAATAGGTGGAGGGCAGAATACCTCTACAAAGTCAAACTGTGCATAATGGATATGTTTCATATTTTTGAATAAGTTCCTATGAATTCACCTGTACTTTTATGACTGTTCTAGGAATTTATTTATACTTTCATGAGCTACTTCCTCATATTTGAGGAGAGAAGGGAAATTGCAGTGCATACTTTTTGCAGGGGTGCGTGTGCATCAGTGTCATGGTATTCATGAGGATCTTCTATAAAAGCTTGTGATGACTGCAAATAAAAACGATCATAATTGGTCTTTTAATAAATAACAGATATTATTAATCAAAAATTTAAATCTCTCTTTTTTTTTTTTTTGAGACAGGGTATTACTCAGTTGCCCAGGCTGGAGTGCAGTGGTGTGATCTCAGCTCACTGCAACCTCCACCTCCCTGGTTCAAGAGATTCTCCTGCCTCAGCCTCCCTAGTAGCTGGGACTACAGGCATGCCACCACGCCCAGCTAATTTTTTGTATTTTTAGTAGAGATGGGGTTTCACCGTGTTAGCCAGGATGGTCTCGATCTCCTGATCTCGTGAACCGCCTGTCGCGGCCTCCTAAAGTGTTGGAATTACAGGCATGAGCCACCACACCCCGCCTGAA